GTCCTGGAGGACCGCCAGTTCGAGCTTGCTTTCCTCTCCGAGGCTGCTCCCCATCTCTGTTCCATGCTGCTAGTCCCTGAGGGTGACCCAGACGCTTTCGACATCCCGACCCCTCGCACTTACGCTGAGGCGACTTCGGGACCCTGGGCCTCACAGTGGATAGCTGCCATGGAGCAGGAGATGACATCTTGGAGATCCACCGGCACCTTCATCGACGCAGTTCCCCCACCTGGGGTGAACGTAGTCGATGGCCGCTGGCTTCAAGGTGAAGCGCCCTCCTGGAGAGCCGCCTGTCTTCAAGGCGCGCTATGTGGCTAGAGGCTTCAGTCAGCGCGAGGGGGTGGACTTCTTCCAGACTTTCGCTCCGACCCCGAAGATGACTACTCTTCGGGTTCTGTTACACCTAGCTGCTCAGCGTGACTACGAGCTTCACTCCCTCGACTTCTCCACTGCCTTCCTTCAGGGCAGCCTACACGAGCAGGTCTACCTGCGCCGCCCTCAGGGCTTCACTGGCACCTTCCCTCCTGGGACCCAGTGGCTCCTGCGGCGCCCCGTCTACGGCCTGCGCCAGGCTCCCCGTGAGTGGCACGACACTCTCCGTGCTACGCTTGCTGACCTGCAGTTCTTTCCGTCTTCCGCCGACCCTTCCCTCTTCGTTCGTGCTGGCCAGACTCCGTTCTACATCCTTGTTTACGTCGACGACCTGGTCTTTGCCACAGCAGACAGGGACGCACTGGCCTCCGTGAAGGCAGAGCTGCTGAAGAGACACACCTGCACTGACCTTGGAGAACTGCGCCGTTACCTTGGCTTGCAGATCTCCAGGGACAGAGCTGCGCGCACCATCACCCTGACTCAGTCACACTTGGTGCGCCAGGTCCTTCAGAGGTTCAGCCTTCAGTTCTCCTGTGCACAGCCCACCCCTCTGCCTGTAGACCACAGACTCTCCGCTCCAGTACCTGAGGAGGTGGTAGAGCCCAGTGGCCCCTACGCAGAGCTGGTGGGTTGCCTCATGTACCTGATGACTTGCACTCGCCCAGATCTCGCATACCCTCTCAGCATCCTGGCACGCTTTGTGGCCACAGGCAGACACCGACCGCATTACTGGTCTGCCGCTAAGAGGGTTCTGCGTTATCTTGCTAGTACATTGGGCATGGGGTTAGTGCTTGGAGGACGCAGGCCAGTGGTCCTTACTGGACACACTGACGCTTCGTGGGCAGACGACGCTGAGACACTCAGGTCTACCCAGGGCTACTGCTTCAGCCTTGGCTCAGGTGCCGTCTCGTGGAGAGCTACCCGCTCCTCGTCTGTTGCGTAGTCCAGCTGTGAGGCTGAGATCTACGCTGGTGCCATGGCGGCACAGGAGCTCCGCTGGCTGACCTTCTTGCTCACTGACTTAGGTGAGCGGCCTAGCTCTGCCCCGGTCCTGTTCGCTGACAACAGGGCCATGATCCTCCTGTGTCAAGAGCCTCGACTCGAGGGCAGAGCGAAGCACATTCAGCTGCGGTACTTCCTCCTGCGTGAGCTACAGCAGCGACATCAGGCTCGCATAGTACACTTGGCCTCAGGTGCCAACACAGCTGATATCTTTACGAAGGCGCTTGCGCCTAAAGATCATCAGCGGCACTGTGTACAGCTTGGTCTAGTTCCTGTCGCTTCTCACTTGCTAGGACCTTGACTTGTACTGTCCTTTATATGTGTACTCAGACTGGACTTGTGTCCTCTCCCAGTGGCTGGACTAGTAGTGCCGCCCTGGTCTTGTTCTTGCCTTGTCTGTACTCCTTCTGACTGGTCTCTCAGACCCTTGTCTCAGAGGTTGGACTAGTAGTGCCGCCCTGAGCTGCTTGTTTAGGGTATTCCCCTATGCAGTCTAGGGGGTGTGTCAAACATCTGTATTTGTCATGTTTGTATAGACTGTATAGGGTTACCTCTTAGAGGGTACAACACTTAGGTATATTTGTGTGTACTCTCGCTTTACCAATCAATTCCAATTCTGATACTATTCCCTTAGGATAAGATAAACCTGGTTACCTGATGTACTCTGGAAGTATAAAAGCGCCTTGTACTGATCGATAGTGCAATCTTTCCTCGAGTCATTCGATCCTGTGACACTTGGTAATCAGAGCCTTTCTCACTCGGCCGCGCTCAACAAAGCAGCAGCAGCGGGAAAACCTGCCTCGAAAAACCGCCGGGGGCGACCAATTCGACGCCGATTCTGGTAAGCACCAGATCCGCGATTTTTGAATTACCCCCTCCGTGCGTGTTTTGAACAGGATGGCAACCTTCGACAACACCGAGGTTACCCAGCAGCTCTTCGCGCGCATCGCAGCCCTTCAGGAGGAAATGGGAGCGGATCGCGACGCGTGGCGAAACGAGTTCGAGCGAGTAACTCGACTCGCCGGAGCGCAGAACGAAACGACAACGGCGACGATGCAGCAGTCGCAACAGTTTCTCGAGGCTCCGAAACCGCGCCCACCTGAGCCGTTCGATCCGAGCGATCGAAACTCCGACGCCCGCAGATGGATCGCCGGGATGGAGATCTACTTCGCAGCCGTCGGATGGAGCTCGCCAGTCCGGGACGGTCAACCTGTACGACTCGCGGCGACACTGATGCGAGGGCTGGCACTCGAGTGGATTGGCAGCAACAGTACCTTCATCCACGGTGAAGCCACGTGGCAGCAGTTCCGCGCCGACCTGCTGAAACGTTTCGAGCCGATAAATTCGAATTTCCTTGCCCGGGAAAAAATTCATCGACACCGACAGTTCGGGAGTATAGCACAGTACACGCAGCAGATGGAGGAATTTTATAAGCGCATTCCCGACCTAACCGAAGGGGAAAAAGTACAATCGTACCTCGCCGGGCTGAAGACCGAAGTCAAAAGACAAGTCGCAGCGTCAAACTACGCGAGCTACAGTGATGTCGTTTCAGCAGCGGAGCGCTTCGACATGGTCAACGCCGGAACACGACGGACGCACGTCGGCAGTACGCGACAGGGCGACCGCTCGGCTCACCCCACGTTCGCCGACCCGATGGAAGTCGACAGGTTCAAGGGGCGGCCACGTCCGAAAAACACCAATTACGCATGTGATTTTTGCGGGGTGCCGGGTCATCGAATCTTCGACTGCAACAAAATGAAAGCCGCACGCGCAGAGTATCGGGCACGCAACAGTGGTGGAATTCCTTCGGCCAATCAGAAGCCAAAAAATGGGAGTCGCCAGTGATTGCTGATCTAGCTGGCGAAAATAAAAAGATCCGGAAGCGGCCGCGGGATTCCGGGAAAATCAACTTCGACGAAGCTGATTCGACGCGAGAAGGAGAAAATGATGGGGGAAAATCTCCACCCCATGACCAGTCTTCGCCAGGGAAAATCGCCGAGGAAAAATCCGACTCCGCGAAAAAAGACTCTGCCGAGACGAGGAAACTCTTTGAAGACCCAAGAAATTATAAGAATTCATTAAAGTTATCTTATAAAGATGCTTTAATGAAAACTTATGATTTTCAAGGAGCTAGAGCCTTGGAGAAATTTCGGGAGGGACTCCAAAAGAAGCAGACAGCTGTGGAGATTATACCGGTACCGGACAACTTGGGGAAAAAATTAAGGAGTGTGGAAAGAAGCCGACCTTTCCACGGAGTCAACGTCCTCTTCCGACACCTGCCCACAACGACTACCCGTTCCCCAGGGAAGACGTCGGTGGAGCTGAAGCAGCTCAAGAGGAAGCTGGGGGTCTATAAGAAGCTGCACCAACCCCGAACTCCTCCGGATGCATCCAGTTCTTCGGCATCAGTGACGCGCACAGTCGCCAAGGAAACTCCGAGCCCTGGAGAAGAGCCGTTCTCCAAGCAGCCTCGGCCAGCTGCCAGCTCAGGAGTAGATAGCAACACAAAGATGTGTACGGAATATTGGGGTGTACCCTATGACCCAATCAATGAAACCATTTTTGGGTACTCCGAGCAACGCCTGCCCCTCGTGCCCGAGGTCATCTGCAAAGGACGACGCCTCCAAGCACTCGTGGACAGCGGAGCATATTACACCGTCTGCAACAAGGCAGTAATCGACCGACTTCGGGAAGAGTACAAGCCTTCAGGGTTTTCTGCAACGATGGTGGACGGAAGCAAGTTAGCAGTACACGGCGAAGCAGTGCTACACCTACAAATTGGACCACTGCGCTGGATACCTGCACTCCCCATCACCAACATCAAAGGGCTTGACTTGATCTTTGGGCGAGACTTCCTAAAAAGATTCAACCCTGAGATCAACTGGGTGAACTGCACCGCAAGCATCTACAACAATGGACGGAGAGTACAACTACCCAACAGGGATGATACAGGAGATATCCCAGTGGAGACACTCGCGCGATTCGAGAAGGACGTGAAGCAAACCGACACCGGGTTCCTGGCGATAGCAACAGACGTAGAGAACAACGAAGAGAAGACCTCGGAACCTCCAGGAAAGATCAAGGAATTATTGAAGGAGTTCCAAGACATTCTTTCGGATGATCTTCCGAACGAGCTACCGCCATACCGAACGCATCAACACGAGATCGTAGAGGAACCGGGTTCGAAGCCGACCTCCCGAGCACCATATCGGCTCAGCCCTACGGAGCTGACCGACATGAAAAAACAGATCGATTATCTCCTAGCCAAAGGACTCATCCGACCATCTACTTCGCCAGGTTCGCATGTGCATCGACTACCGAGCTCTTAACAAGGAGACCATCAAAAATAAATATCCGATACCGTGAGTCGATGACCTGCTTGACCAGCTTTGGGGAGCTACGGTATTTTCCAAACTGGATCTGCGGTCCGGATACTGGCAGATTCGGATGGCGGACAACTCTACCCACAAAACTGCTTTCCGAACTCGGTATGGATCGTACGGGTATTTGGTAATGCCATTCGGACTCACCAACGCACCGACAACATTCCAAGCCAAAATGAACCACATTCTACGACCACTTTTGGATGAGTGCGTGGTGGTGTACCTGGACGACATACTCAACTACTCGCGCGACATGAAGCAGCACGTCGAACACCTGCGACGCGTCTTCGAAATTCTTCGACGAGAACGGTTCTACGTCAAACTATCCAAGAGCAAATTCGCCTTTGAAAAGGTCCAGTTCCTAGGACACATGGTGAGCGCTCAAGGAGTTTACGTCGACCCCAAGAAGATCGAAGCCGTACGTACGTGGAAGACAACCGAGAATGTGAAGGAGTTGCAGCAGTTTCTAGGCTTCACCAATTACTACAACATGTTCGTGCCACAGTATGTGAAAATCGCAGCACCACTCACAAATCTGCTGAAGAAGAACACACCCTACAAATGGGAGCCGAAGCACCAGGAAGCTGTGGAGCAACTGAAGCAAGCACTCACGTCCGCACCAGTACACATCTTGCCAGATCCCGAACGCGACTACGTCATCGAAGCTGACGCCAGCGACCAGGCAGTGGGAGCAGTCTTGATGCAAGACCAGGGGAATGGACTGCAACCAATCGCCTTCCTCAGCAAAAAACTGGACGGGGCAGATCTAAACTATCCAATACACGACAAAGAGGCCCTTGCCATCATCATCGCCTTCAAAGCGTGGAGATGTTATCTCGAAGGACGAAGAACAACCGTCTACACCGACCACTGCAGCTTAAAATATTTGAAGACACAACCCAACCTTTTCAGGCGGCAGGTCCGGTGGATCGACTTCCTCGAGACACACTTCCACTACGACATCGTGTACAAGCCCGGCCACAAAAACAAAGCGGATGCTCTCAGCCGACCTGCACACGTTGCCGCTATTCAAGTCGAAGGGATGAATCCACTACTCAAGGGACTCTTCGCACACGGGTACACTATCGACCCGGAAATTCCCTTGGCAGAAAAGCGACATCTGCTACTGTGGGATAGTGTCATCGCGTAACGGAAAGGATCAACGAAAATATGGGTACCCAATTACCCTCCTTTGCGCCACTTACTACTCGAAGAATACCACGACGTCCTCTACGCCGGACACTTCGGTAGCAACAAGACGCTGACTGGTATCGTAAAGCACTACTACTGGCCCCACTTGGCAGAAGATGTTCAGAAATTCGTCACCTCGTGTGATACATGTCAGCGGATGAAGAGTAGCAAACAGAAGAAGGCAGGATTGCTACAGCCTCTTCCTGTCCCAGAACAACCATGGCAAGTGGTTAGCCTGGACTTCATCACCGGGTTACCACCTACCTCCAGCGGTCATGACGCCATCCTTGTCGTCATCGACAAATTCTCCCAAATGGGACACTTCATCCCGACACACACGACAGCACGCACCGAAGAAACAGCACAACTCTTCGTTCGATACATCATCTCACAGCATGGCATTCCAACCACACTCATCTCCGACCAAGACCCCAAGTTCACCAGCAAGTTCTGGAAGGAACTTATGTCTCTCCTCGGGACCAAACTCGCCATGTCATCTGCTTACCATCCGCCGACAGACGGACAGACCGAGCGCCTCAACCAGATTGTCGAGCAACTCCTCCGAGCAGCCGGCAAGGACGAGATATTCGAATGGGACTTGCATCTACCCATTCTAGAGTTTGCTTACAACAATGCTACACATGCCGCTACTGGAAAGACGCCGTTCTTCCTCTGCTACGGCCGCCACCCACTCACACCACAAAAACCGACAGCATCAGCCACAGTCCAACCTGCGCATGATTTCATCACAACCATGCATCAGCTTTGGGATCGGACCCACAAGCGCCTACTCGACATTCAACAGCAACAGAAGCGCGAGGCTGATCGCCATCGCAACAATCACACCATCACGGTGGGAGACCAGGTGCTTCTTGACACCCGCAACCTGGACATCAACCATCTCCCATCTAAACTTCGACCTCGCTTCTGCGGGCCTTTTCTCGTTGAAGCACAGGTTACTCCTGTTACCTTCCACTTACGCCTGCCAGCTACCTGGAAGATTCACAACGCCTTCCATGTCCAACTTCTGAAGCCCTATCGGGATCCGAACACGATCTTCGGACGCCAACCGCCGCCGCCGCCGCCCGTCCTCGTCCAGAATGAACCCGAGTACGAGGTCGAGTCCGTGCTGCACACCGCCGTCGTCGGAATGGCACCGTGGAGCTTCTCATCCGTTGGAAGGGTTATGATCCTTCTGAGGACAGCTGGGTACCTGAGTCCGACATGGGTAACGCCCGTCGTCCTCTGCATGACTACCTTGTCAAGCAGGGTGTTACTTCTACCACCCAGCTTTGAGGGGGGGAAGTGTGAGAGTACGACCCCGTTACACCACTTGGCCTTTTCTTATTTCCTTCCTTTTCATTTCTCTTTTATCCATCTCATTTGGTTTCCTATTCTCCTTTTCCATTAACCTTTGGTTTATCCTGCTATTATAATTATATCACCGACCAGGCTTGGGATGTACTGGTGCGCTATCTAGCGTAATCCTGCCGTAATCCCTTAAAGCCAATAGCCTCGCGTGGCTATACGCAGGGTGATTCTATCTTCTAGAAGGGTCTATTCCCTTAGGATAAGATAAACCTGGTTACCTGATGTACTCTGGAAGTATAAAAGCGCCTTGTACTGATCGATAGTGCAACCTTTCCTCGACACATTCGATCCTGTGACAGCTACTAATTCCCGGTCCATGGCTTCTCGCCATTTTTC